AAAAAAAAAAAAAAAAAAAAAAGCAATAAATGCCCTCTCTGAATGTTTGAACTGCCAAGAAAAGGCATGGAGACAGCAAACTAGAGGAAAGGGCATGCGGGAAATGGCCACCATCTATAGATGGCTTTGTTAAGTCATCCACAGCCCAAGGGCGGGGCTGTGCCTTGTCTGGGGACCCTGTGGAGTCACTGGTCCTGGAGCGGCTCTCCTGAGAGGTGCTGCAGGCGAAGTGAGACTGACACCTCACTGAGGAAGGGAGATGTATTCTTGGAGAACTTTCCATCTGCTTGCATTTTCCATACACATCTCCAGGCAGAAGTTAGTTTCCAAAGACCGAATTTTATTTTACATATGTTGAAAGCTCACTTCACTGAACAAAGGGATTCTCCGGTATTCCAAGGTTTTGAAGTCATCTTAGCTTTCCGCAGGAGAGACAGAACTTAAAAAAGCAACAGTAGCAGGGAATTGATCCACTTCTTAATGCTTTCCTCCCTGGCATGACCATCCATGCTTTGTTATTATTCTGCATTTTACATCTTCGGAGGGACAGCTCCCTAACAGCTTCGTCCCTCCGCAGTGTCCCTTGCATAGCCCACACACGAACCGTCCTTCCTGTGATGCTGCTCTTCTGTCATCCTGCTCCTGCTCAAACACCTCCCGCGGGCTCCACCTGTTGGAGCTGAAGCCCATGCTCTCCCACCAGCACATCATTCCCAGCCCGCCTCCCTGCCTGGTCCTCCAGCCTCCCCTTGCTGTCCCGCTGTGTGAATTCCCAGGTTGGCCTGGTGGCCATGGCGCCTGCCCCCAGCACTCCTCTGTCTGTGCTCTTGCCTGTCCCCCTTCCTCCTCCTTTGCCTAAAAGGCCTTCTCTTACTTTCTCCAGCTGATCAGAATTTTACCGAAATTCAGAACATCCTCCAATTCCACAGTCTCCAGGAGACTTTCCCTAAGAGGCGACTCCCTCTCCAGCCCTCTCTCCCCAGTCAGGCCCACGGCAGTGACGGCAGTGAGCACGTCAGGGAGGCTGGTCTCCCTCCAGCTGGAATCGCTGGTGTCTGAGGGAGAGGCTGTGGGGGGCTGTCTCTGTCCCTTACTGCCTTTCGGGAGCAATTTGCACATGTGACATAAATTTATATAGTGCTTTATGTTTAAAAACATTCCCCAATTATCTTATTTAATTTTTGCAATTATTTTAATTTTATATATAGAGAAAGTGACCTATTTTTTTAAAAAATCACACTCTAAGTTCTATTGAACCCAGGACTTGAGCCTCATTTCTGGCTTTAGTCTGGTGTTCTGAGTACTTGATTTCAGGTCAATAATGTTCCCCCCTCACTCCACACTGGCACATTTGTGAGAAGAAATGACATTTTGCTAGGAAGCGACCGAGTCTAGGAATGCTTTTATTCAAGACACCAAATTCCAAACTTCTGAATGTTGGAATTTTCAAAAATTATGTTTAGATTTTATGAAAAACTCTTCTACTTTCATATATTCTTTCCCTAGAGGCAAACATTTCTTAAAATGTTTCATTTTCATTAAAAATGAAAGCACGTTGTTGTTGTTGTTTTTTTTTGGTATAGAAAAAATATTTTTAAAAATGGGATGACAGGCCTCAGAATAATTGGAGAAACCCTGCAAAACCAGAAAGCCAAATTTATATGCCACCAATTACAGGACACAAGCACAGTTTTATGAGTTGTATGAACATGGGCAGGACTTCTGGTTTTTATATTTCTTGTATTTAATATGGGTGGACACAAACTTTTATTTGGAATAATAATATTCCTCCTAAACAAAAACACATTGAGTTGAAGTCTCTGACTCTTGCCTTTCCACCTGCTTTCTCCTGGGTCCACTTTGCCTGTTTCAAGGAACAGTGCTGTTCTGGAGCTGCTGTTCCAACAGACAGGGCCTAGCTTTCATGTGGCACACAGACTGCAGCCGGAAGCCCATGGATCAGGGATGTCACGTCCCGAAAAGCCTATTAGAAGTTTTACAAATTTAATTTTGCAGATTATTTCAGTCTGTTATCTAGAAAATGTGTGAGCACGCATAGTGCCAAGAAAGGAAGCCAATTCGGAAACTTAGGTTAGTGACAAAATTGGCCAGAGAGTGGGGGTGACCAGGACCAAGAATTACAAGTAGCATGGCAGCTGGAATTTAAGGAAGGACAAGAATCAGTGGATACGCCTGGGTAGAGGAGGATCCAAACAGAAAAGTGCAGAGTCATTCCCCATCTTCCAAGGGTTGGATTCTAGAGGAAGAAGACACATTCCTAGTTCCCCGTGAACTTCCTTTGACTTATTGTCCCCACTAAAACAAGACAAAAAACGTTTAATACCTTCCGCTTTAATTAGATTTTCTTGCAGTTTTTAATGGCATTTTTAAAAAGATGCCCTAAGTGTTGAAGAAGTTTGCAAATGCAACAAAATATTTAATTACCGGTTGTTAAAACTGGTTTAGCACAATTTATATTTTCCCTCTCTTGCCTTTCTTATTTGCAATAAAAGAAAAGGTATTGAGCCATTTTTTAACTGACATTTTTGATAAATTATGTTTGTACTAGCTTATGATGAAGGAGTTTTTTAAACCTGTTTATATAATTTTGCAGCAGAAGCCAAATTTTTGTATATTAAAATACCAAATTAGTGTACAGCATGCATCACGGATCAATAGACTGTACTTATTTTCCAATAAAATTTTCAAACTTTGTACTGAATGTTATCCTTGAGAATCTGTTCTTTGTCTAGTCCACAGCTTACCTGCGCATCTGCACATTCCCAGGCCTGAACAAGGTGAGGAGACCTGCTGCAGAGTTCTTCCTGTTGTGGGGAGGGGGTGGGGAGGGGCTCGAGGAGGGGAGGGGAGTGGAGGTCAGAGGCTATTGGCCTAACAGTGAGCCCTAACTCCCTTCTTCTAGCTAAACTCTACTCCCTCTGCTCACCTGCTTCTAAAATGGATTCAAATGTGAGCCTTATCATTAACTGTTTATTGGCTTCTTATCAATTTACTATTAACTTACCACTTTACCTGTCCAAAAATGATGAAGGGGATATTTGTATAGACTTTTACATTTTACAAAGGGCTTTTATTCATTTTTTCCTTTGACCCAGAAGGTGGGTAAAATTGGTGAACTTGCTGTCCAAAATGCATGCTCTAAAGCTTGTTAACTCTGATGGTCAGAGATGACACCCAGTCAGTGCCTCCTTACTTCACAGCAATGCTAAAGGGCAGGTGACTCTGTCAGTACCTGGGGAGAAGGGGCAGATTGGCTTAGAGTCTGAGTCCACTATGAATGAACACTGCCTCCACCATCTACCTGGGGCGAAACTTTAGGCAAAGTATTTGAGCCTCAATTTACTCATTATATAGGTATAATATGTAACTCATAGAATTAGGATTAAAAAGATTAAATATATTATGACAAGTCTAGTGCTTAGCCTAAAGCTGGTTCTCAGAAAATGGTTGCTTTGTTAGTAGCAATTCTATGAATTGCTTCTCTGAAGTCCTATTAGAATCTGCAAATGGAAGGGATAGAGAGGAGTTATAAATTAGAAATGACAATTGACACTAGGGACAAAGTACACAATGTCAAATTGAAGTTGTATAACCACAGAGGCCAGGAGCCCTGTCCAGCCCACAGCCCCTCCACCAGCCCCCAGCCTGAAAGAATGTTTCTCACTGGAGGAGTTCAGGGAGCTTTGCACCACATTTTGGTTATGATACCAGTTAATGTGCAAACCATTAGGAAAATCAGTGCTAACCACCATTGAAAAGTCATCCTTTTTCCTCTCTTCATCAGGTAACTTTTCCCCCGTAAATGCAAAATAGGTTTTTAGGGAGTCTCTGGAATTATTTTACAACAGGAATGCCATCTGGTGGAAAAAGATCCGGGACTAAATTCCTGCACTGTCACAGCTTTGAAACCAGCACACAGCACCTGGTTGTATGGAACCTCCATTTTCTCATGTGTAAAACAGGACTTCCTATGTTACAAGATGTTTATATGTAGAAAGCCTCTGTCCAGTATGTGGGATAGAATCTCAAAATATATTTTCTTAGTTTTATCACTTGATGAGTACAGATAAAACAAAAAACTTATTCATCCAAAATATGTATTTTTCAAATGCTAGGGTTTTAGGTGTGTGTGTGGGTTGAGGGGCGATATAATGTTGGTGTTAACTTTTAAGTGATCACAGCTGCTACCTAATCCCATTTTAGCAAGTCAGGATCTGGTTTAGCATTTTTCATATAGTACATTCCCCAAGTAGTAATTGAAGGACTTCTAAGCATAAATACCATGCAATTATGAAATCAGAGATTTCCTCCAGCTTATTTGTCAAAAGAAAATCTTTTCGCCTTTGACGTGAGACTCTGGGAGTGTGGTGAGGTTGGCTTAGCGTGCAGGGCACAGGGAGCATAGCAGTTGGAGAAGAAAGCAGGTTGGGCTAGAAGGGAAAAATTGTTCCTCTTTTACTAAAATAAAATACATAAATGAATCACCACAGTGGCAATAATTCATAAAATGGAGTACACATGGAAAAATGTGTGTGGGAAGACAGAGGAAAGGGATAATTTTTGATGTGATAACATTCATTTTACAACCGAAGTGTGTGTGTGTGGGGGGTGAGGGGGCAGGATGTTTAAGTTTTAAGGAGAGGGAGAGTTACAGGAATAGGTCTATTTAAAATGAGTATTAATCATTCAAAACAAAAACATGCTCATCTTACCACACACCGCTCAGGTTTCTTCTGAAGAAGGCTTGGCTATTAAAATACGTAAATGCTACCTGTGCCTTAAATCTGAGCCCCAAACATTAGCATGGCAGTCTCTCAAAATTTGCAGCTGTTAGACCAGTTAAACCTGTACCACCTGACTCTAGACTCATAGGAGGCTGTTGACTTCTCTAAAGCTGTGCTCAACCAGTTGAGAGATTAATTTACCTACAGGGTGAAGTCGATGAAGCTTGTTTTTCTTAAAACCTTTGACCTGGCAGTGATCCCAAGTGTCATTTGGTTTCTGCTTCCGGAAGGGAAGGGCTACAATGATACCATTCTACAGTGTGCATTGGTTTTCCTGTCAATCTACACGTCCTCAGAATGAGATTCCTTAGGCTTCTGTAGTGAAAGGGTATTGCATGTTTCACAGCCTGTGTGGGGACCCACTCCTGCTTTGGTTCATGTAGTTAATCCTTCCCTGGCTAACACTGCATTTTCCCTCCTCAGCCATGTTATGTCACTTACCCTGCTTAGCCAGGGACAGACTGCAGCTTCTCATTTGCTTTCAAGGCTGTGGACAGCGGCCACCTGTCTCAACACTTTTTATCATCAGATGCTATTCTGTAGTCCCGCCTTCCACACTATACTTGATTGCTTCTGAGTGCTTGTCTTTCCTAAAATTGGACCCATGGCCTCTCTCAAATGCAAAAACACAGGGGAAATATTTGTGTTCTGAAGCCTACTTTTAGATTTTTAAAAGGTGCTAATCATGTGGATAACATTATGCTAGACATGCAGAAAATTACAAAGTAAGAAAAAGAAATCTAGCCAGAGAAGAAGAGTGTGAAGAGAAAGTTGTTCAGGAAACAATCTCATATGATAGAGGGTCTTAAATCCATGACTGAAATATTTGAACTTTACCACTGGGAGTAGGTATATGGGAGATACTGGAGGCAACAGGTTGGAAGAACAAAGAAACACATTGATACAGCACTATTGTGCAGCAGATTGGGAAGAGGTAAAAGGTACATAGGGAGGTTGTTAGGAAGGTGGTATAGTAATCCCCTTGGGAGTCAATTATATTTAAGACATTTTATAAAATAGGAGAAATTTTTTTTTATTATGAAAGCAATAACGGTTTGAGAGAATGTGGAAATTTCTAAAACATATAAGGAAGAAAAATGTCACCCATAACCTCACAATCTAAAGATAATTATTGATATTTTATTACCTTTCTATGGACATAACTGAGACCATATACATGGAGTTTAATACTCTTTTTAAAACTTAGCATAAATATTTGCCCGCATTACTATTATATGAAATACAATCTATAAGTAGTCACTAAGTCTACCAAATGGATGGTCCATAATCTGATAGCATTGCTGCCTTCGTTGGATATCCAGATTATTTCTAGTTTTAGCTATCAGTAGTCAAAGTGCAATAGTTGTCCTTTCTCTAATATCTTTACTTCTCTAATCATTTGCTTAGCATATATTCAGAGGGCAAGTTCCTTTTCAGGTTCTTGATGTTCCATAGAGACATTTGCTCCTCTTACACAAGCAGTGTGTGGCACTGAGAATACTCATTATTAAATAATTGCGAATTTGATAGACAAAAAAGGTTATCCTTTGCGATAAGCATTACTTTGCCAGTTAACTATTAACATGGTTGAACGTTTCACTTAACAATTACAGTGTGAGGTGGGCGGATCACTTGAAGCCAGGAGTTTGAGACCAGCCTGGCCAACATGGTGAAACCCCATCTCTACCAAAAACACACAAAAAGCAAAAAACAAAAATTAACTGGGCGTGGTGGCGCATGTCTGTAATCCCAGCCACGTGGGAGGCTGAGGCAGCTGAGGCTGTTGGCTTCATCTGTGTTATTTTGGAATTTACAAACTGTTTCCTCCTTTGCGATTTTGTCCTAGCTGTTTCCTACTTTGGGGAGAGCCCTTCTCCCAGACCTCCACGTGCTGGACTCCTTGCCTTGACATGGGCCTCTGCTGCACCATAGACCCTTCTGAAGGGAGGACTTCCCCAACACCATCTCCATCACTTCATCACAATTGCTTTCAGGGTTCTCACCAACCTGAAATCATCCTTCAAAATTTTCTATTTACTTGACACTAGAATGACTGTAAACTCTAAGAGGGTCTGTCTTCCATACAGCTGTATTTCCAGCACTCAGAATATCACCTGGAACATAGTGGGAACTGTATAAATATTTGATGAAGGACTGAGCGAACTAATGAATGGAGCTCAAGGGAGAGATTAAGCCCAGGACTGCAGGAAACCAAGTGCTTTAAGGACTTCTCTCTAGTGTCCCTGGCTGCTTCTTCCATTTCTGGAAGTTCATTTTATCCCAACAATAGCAGTCTACTACAGAAATGCTGCTATATATTCCCAAGCCTCACGGAGAGGAAATATGAGAACTTAAGGGCCTGAAAAGTATAAAGATCTTGGTGGAGCCCGAAACCCCCACCCCAACCTAATACTGAGTTTTGGAAAGTTTAATTGTTGCTTGTGAATATATTTCTGTTTCATTCTCATTGGGAAACCTTATCTGTGGGTTATGGCCAATAGGAAATCATCAGACATTTAGACATCAGACATCAGGCATCATGTAAAATACACATTTGTATATGAAATCTTTAATCCAAATTGTTGCCCTGCTACCCTTCTGAGTAGCCGTCATATCCTAGTCTGAGGGCCAAACAGATTGAAGGTAAAATTCAACCAAGCAGAATTCTGTAATGCCTTCTTCACACACAGATTTGTTGCTTTTTGTCTGCTCTCAGAATTAAGTAATGAATCTCTACAGGAAGTTGATTTACTTCATTTAAAAAAAACCAACTGAAAATATATTTCCTATGGCCACTGACTAATGGTAAAAAACATTAAGAATATTCCCATTGTAAAAATATCTGCAAGTGGGAGAGAATTAGACAAGCAGGGGGATGGTGATAAGCATCAATTACATATTATACACCCTGTTATGGAGGCTTTACCACTGCCACCTCTGAAAAATGGGCTTTACCTCCCTATCTAAATGTATATAAAATAAAATCACAGGATAGCTTTTACATCAGAGCAGCAAAACTGGCAAAATTTAAAAGTCTGACATTACCAAATAATGGTAAGAACACGAAGCAATGAAATTATTTTCCTCTAAAGAATATAGTTATGGAAAAAAATTGGGGCTTTTCTAATACAATTGGGGATGTACCTACCCAATGATTCTGCAATTCCATTCACTAAACGACCCCTGAAATACTCGCACAGAAGGACATTACCAGAATCTTAGGAGCAGCAATGTTTATAAGAGCAAAATATACATTTGGAAAACCTTAAATGTTCGAAGGAGATGAATACATTTAAGGTTTTTTTTTCAAGGTAATTGAGAATCTGCAGTAAGTGTTATAGTTTCCTGTTATTTTTAATTGCTAAGTTTACAATGCCTGGAATCAGTTCTGCCTTCAAAGCCAAGTGTTCATTTTGCATGTATCAGGAAACCCATTTGGCACAGAGCTCATCCCAGGAAGTTAAGTTTCAGATTCACAGAATCAGTAGCAAAGTGCAATATCAGAAGTGTCCAGTGAGAGGCACTGCAGGGGACTGGGATGGCCTGTCTTAACTTCATACATTTTGGGGCAACTATACCCATTAGACTTGGCATATAGTCCTCAGGCTAAGAAAGAAGATAGGACACAAATGCATCTATTCATAAAGTGAAAATGAAAAAAGATAGCGTAAAAAAAAAGATTTAGAAATAACTTTCAACAGTGCTTATAGCAATAGTTCTGAATGCAAATCATGTAACTTTTATAAAAATAGTAACACCTTAGTTTTGTTTTGGATGAGGACATAAACCCTGAAGAATATACATATATAGAGGAACCTCGTTTACTGCTGATGGTAGGGGAAATAAATAATAATCTCTATTTATAGCTTAAGAAAGAGGTCCTCAAAGAGTGGGAGCCGTATGGGTCCCTGACAGATCCTTCAAAAAGATCTGTGCAATCAAAACTATGCTCATCATGATATTAAGACCTATTCCTTTTTTATTCTCATTCTCTCATTAGTGTATGGTAGACCTTTTCAGAAACTATATGACATATATCATGAGACTGATTGCAGAAGCAAATATGAGAATCCAGTCATCATCTAGTCAGCCAGACATCAAAGAGATCCGCATCTATGCAGAACAATGTCACTTTTCTCAATAAGCCTGTTTTAGAAAGTAGTTACTTTTCATAAATTGTATGATAGTTGTGTTCACACGTAATGGGTTGTTACTTAAATAAGAAAGTAAAAATTTAAAAATTCTCACTTTAATTTCTAACATAGTAATATTGACAGGCATAACCTACATAGACAAAAGCACGTTGGAATCCTCAATACTTTTTAAGAGTGTAGAAATCTGCAAACCACTGACCTTCAGCCCATCACAGGAAGTTTTGCTATTAGCACAATTATTGCATCTTTGCTCCTTTGGTTGCTTTTGTCTCACTGTCTCTGATCTTTCAAAGACCATCTGGAAGAGCTTGGCCAGTCATCTATTGAATGGAGATTACATTTTGAATCTTTTCCTACATCTCAGTGCCCTGTGGGACGACTCTGGGGTGTCTCCAGATGGCTAGGGCAACAGGTCCCTGTTGACATCACCTTATGGGGAAGTTTTAGACAGGAACAGTCTTCAGGCTCTGAAGTACTTGAAGAGCACCATGGGATGCCTGCCTTACAGAAGTTAATGAGCATGACTCAGGCAGATTTATAATTCTCCGTAGAAGCCATTTGGGATGCCTTCCACTTCGGGGTCATTCCACATAGACCAATGCAGAGCATGCAGTAACTGCTCAAATGGGATTTGGAAAGGAACGAACGGTTCATTTAGATGTTCAACTTGGAATAGACTTAAGCAGACACTCCTGGTGATGAAGGCCTTAGATGCCAGACAATCAGGCTCAGAGACTTTCAAGCCACTTCCTAGAGTGATGTCACATTCCTTTCTACGCTCCACTGGGGAAGGCAGGTCTGCCCCGCCCACGGTGGCGGGGAAATACCTAGGCATGGAAGTGGCATGACAGGGCTCAGGTCCCTGCCATATCTTCTACTCTCCACGAGGTCCTGCACGCTTCAATCCTGCAGGCAGGTAGACACCGGGCCGGGAGTCTGGCTGAGCCAGGCATGGGTGGGGCCCTGACAGTAGGAGAGGTGTGCAGGAAAAGACGTGGCAACAATGTGTGCCACCGCAGGCCAGGGATCAGGTCCCCCAGGCGGGCCTCCGACCGGCTAGGTGACCATGGGGGAGACGACTCCCTCTCTGGGTCGAGGTGTGGAGCTCGCGGCTACTTTCAGCTCCAGCGGTTCCCTGCCTTCCTTTCTGCTTTCCCGCCGGCCCCTGCCAGGTAGGCCTGCTCTGGTTGCTCCCAAGTAAGCCGGTGTTTGGGGTTTCCGTTTAGACCGCGGATCCCGAGGACAAGGGCGCCCAGGGGAGGACGCTCCGAGCGACGCGGACAGGGATGGGGTCCCACATCCGGGACCCAGGCCGCGGGCTGCGCTGGGGGGCGCCCGGGCCCTCGCGGGAGCTCTGGACGCGAGCCTGCTTCGCTGTCAGGGGGCGGAAGCGGCTCCCACGCGGGCCGCAGCGCCGCCGCCGCCCACTCTTCGCCCATCCTCCTCCGCGGCGGGGCGAGCTCCCTGCCTTGGATCCTAAAGGTCCGGCGCGCAGACGAAGGAGACAGCGGACGGGCAGTCTTTGGGGAAACGTGGGGCCAAAGTCAGAGGGCTCCCCAGGAAGAAGGAAAGGTCAGCGGCCTGGGCGGTTGTCTTTGAGATTCCAAGGTCGTCCTCGCCGGCGCCTCGGGCCCACCCCACAGCGCCCTCCCCTCCCACCCTCTTCTCCCTTCCTTGCAGCCCGGTTTGGGGATGTGGTCCTTGCTGCTCTGCGGGTTGTCCATCGCCCTTCCACTGTCTGTCACAGCAGGTACGTCCGTCCTGTGTGTCCTCAGTTCCCAGAGGCCGCCCTAGTCCACAGGCTCCTGGCCCCTCACTGGGAGCCCCAGGGGATAGCGCCAGCCGGAGCATGGCTGCTTATGCTCCCAAGACCGCGAAGAGGAAACAGAGCCAGCTCCACGTGCTGGGATGCTCAGCCCTGAATGTCACCTTTGAGCTTGGAGGTGACTTCGGGGAGGGGAAGGAGTTAGGCAAATTGCAAGTGAAGACTTGAGTAAAAATGCTCAAATGGAGTTACTACTGCCTATTTTATATGATAAAGGGTTATTTTATGACAAGATGAAAGCAAGGACACCATCAATAGAACAAATTTCTTCTAAGAAATTTGGTAGAAATGAGCTTTAAGAATGAACCAACTTTTTTTTTTTTTTTTTTTTTTTTTTTAACGTTTTGGGATGAAATAGCTTTTACTCAAGGCAGAGTAACTGGGTGGCAGAGCAGAAACAGAAAAGACAAGAAGGGCTTCTTTACTCTGTAGATGAATGAGTGCAGAGTAAAGAACTCTGTGGATGAAAAGAACTAGGGGTCGTAGAATAGAAAGGAAAGAGGGAAATCACTCCCAATGGGGAAGAGGTTTGTGAGGAGGGAACGGAGTAAATTCTGTCTTATGGATACATTTGAAGAACTTGGAATATACTTTATAATCAGCATTCTATTTTTAGGAAACTTTCAGACTCAGGAAACTCCCAAATAAAATTTCAAATTGGCTGGAAAATTGAAGAGGCATTTAAAAAAGCTAACAGTAAATAGAACTAAAGTTTTCTTTCACAGATAATTGTTTTGTTTTTCTTTCCCTAGATGGATGCAACGACATTTTTATGAAAAATGAGATGCTTTCAGCAAGCCAGCCTTTTGCTTTTAATTGTACATTCCCTCCCATAACAACTGGGGAAGTCAGTGTAACATGGTATAAAAATTCTAGCAAAATCCCAGTGTCCAAAATCATACAGTCTAGAATTCACCAGGACGAGACTTGGATTTTGTTTCTCCCTATGGAATGGGGGGACTCAGGAGTCTACCAATGTGTTATAAAGTAAGTTCCTCATTTAAAATAGAACTAACTCATGTGTGTGTATGTATAAATTCTTTGAGGAAAATTCTTAATGAGCATAGAAAACTCATTGAGAAGAATTACGTTGTTGTATGTTTTTATAATTGTTATGAGACAATTTCCAGTGAATATATTTTTAAACAGAACAGATTTGTAAATCATTTTTAGAATCTGATATGCATCTTTCCACATGGAAATGGCACCTCAGACCAGACCCACTCACAAAGTGTGTCTGTCCCAATATTATTGCTGCCATCTTTCTTTCTTGTTTTCTTTTTCTTTTTTTTTTTTTTTAGTTTCTGAGATGAAGTCTCACTCCGTCACCAGGCTGGAATGCAGTGGCGCGATCTCGGCTCATTGCAACCTCCGCCTCCTGGGTTCAAGCGATTCTTTTGCCTCAGCCTCCCAAGTAGCTGGGACTATGGTGTGTGCCACCACGGCTGGCTAAATTTTTGTATTTTTAGTAGAGACGGGGTTTCACCGTGTTAGCTAGGATGATCTCGATCTGAACTCCTGATCCACCCGTCTTGGCCTCCCAAAGTTTTGGGATTACAGGCCTAAGCCACCTAGCCTGGCCACTGCCATCTTTCTTGAAATGCCAAAAGCTTTTGTGGGAAATGGCACATCCAGATAGGAATAAGCCTCCTATGAGCCCTTTTCACAAGGAATTTGCTTAAGGCAGGGAGTAAGCATCGAGCATGTTCCAGACCTCACTGGAGAACCCGTGCTAAGAAACATGAATGAGTAACACAGGCCTGGTGGTGACTGCCCCTCAAAGGTAGCTGTCTATTAGGATCAAGCCCATCGTCTCACTTTTCAAGGGAATCTGGAAATTGGAATTTGTGTGTGCAACTTTTTATAATTTGTAAAGCTTTGTTGGGCCTGAATAAAACACATCTGTAGACCAAATTTAGCTTGAGGGCCACAGTTTTGTGACTCTCCCACACTGGCTTGCATGACCTTAACAAATTACTTGATCTCTCTGAGCCTTGGTTTTTTCTGTAAAATGGAATTAATGCTGGCCCGATAGGGTTGAGGTGCAAATTAACTGAGACCAGGTATGAAGTAGGTACTCCATTCTCTGTCTCTTGTTTTGATTCCGTGATATTTGCCGGCCCCTTTCTGTGTCCCAGCACGGCCCGTGTTCCACTCTGATTTCTGCCGGATTCCTCATTTCTATCCACCAGACAGACAAAATGCACGAAATCGAGTGGTTCACAAGTGGAAGTGGTCGTTAGCTCTGCCTGGCTCCTTTCCACAGATTTAGTCACTAATAAACCACTCAGAGCATGTGGAGGTCTGCTTTCTTATTTTAGCCTAGGCTATGAATTAACTAGACTTGAAGATCATACATCACATAAATGAATCTGGATGTCGAAGCTAGATTTAAACTATTTAAATCTGGGAGCTGTGAAATGAGGAAAAATAATCTTTAATAGAAATTAGACAAGGATATCTGCCATGAAAGAAAATGAACGTGAATTCTCCAAGACTTTTACTACTAACATCCAGATAGGATATGTATTTAGGAAACTGTATATTTTTACTTTTTGCTTTGAAATAATTTTAAATTTAAATAAATTTTACAGGAATAGTATCAAGAACTTCCTTCTACCCTTTATCTAGATTATCTAGATTCCTCATTTTTAAGAATATATTTTTACATTTATCTTATAATTTTCTCTTTCACCATATATATGATATAAATTATAAACAGTATTTTTCTCCTAAGCCATTTTTAAACCATTTCAGTTGTATGCATCATATCCTCTTAGCTCTTAATATTTCAATGTATATTTCCTATCAACAGTGTATATTTCCTATTTCCTTTCAATGTATATCTGTTTATTTCTTACATAATGACAGTATAGTTGTCAAATTCAGGAAACGTAACCATCATATAATACCTTAATCTATAATCTATATTCTAATCTTATCAGTGGTCTCATTGAAGACCTTTTATAATTTTTTTCTTTCTTTTCCAGTACAGTTACCAATCTAGGATCATGCATCACATTTGGTTGCCATGAATATGTAACTTATTTTAATGTGGAACGGTTCCTCAGTCTTTGTTTTTCATGATGCCGTCATTTTTAAGGACTATAGGCAATTATTTTGTATTATCTCCTTCATTGGTGTTAGTCAGGTATTTCTTCATGATTAGGTTCAGCCGTTTTGGCTGGAATGCTAGGTGAGTGCTTTGTGTCCCCTTCAGAAAATTACTCAGAGGCACATGGCGTCCACTTGCCCCCAGTTGGTGATGTCCATTTTGATCACTCAGTTAAGGTGTTGTCCAGTTTCTCCACTGTACGAATACCATTTGTCCTTTCGTGATGAATGATTTGGGGGGTGCTTACTGCTTTGTTAGAGGCAGAGGGTTTGCGTGGTGCTGTGAGAATGATTTGAAAACATTTGAAAATGAGCTGAATTATTTGATTTTGTGATTTTTTAGAAGAGTTTATGAGGTCTCAATCTGTCTTACAGGGGTAGAGATAGCTGTCATAGAATACATGTAAACCTAACTGTTTTTGAAAAACAATGGTGTGACACTTCCGTAAAAGGTTTACCGAATGTATCAGATGAGTACAAGCAAATATTACATCTTGGAAAAGATGATAGTCTCACCTGTCATCTGCACTTCCCGAAGAGTTGTGTTTTGGGTCCAATAAAGTGGTATAAGGTAAAAAAAATTTTTTCTTATTGATATTTTTCCTCCTTTTCTTTAAAACCCACTGTTGTTTATAGGTTAAGTTGTATTTTTTAAGGCAGAATTGGTAAAGAAATTTGTGTGCCTAAGATAGATTAGTTAGCTAGCAGTCATTGATATGTTACCTTCCTAATTACTGTTTTAAAAAATTTTTTGGTTATTGTATCTTTGTAATATTTTATTATTTGGATCCACCACCTTCCTCCAGTTATTCTTGTTTTTCAGGCTGTTCTTTATTTTCTAACATTAATTATGTTTGTTTAAATACATACTACATGCGCATGGTTCAATAATCACAAATCGTAAGAGGTCACTCCCTGGAAAACCACTTTCCTGTTCCCGTTCCATATTTGCTCTGGGTCATCACACCTTCCTCGACATGTGTCTACCATGATTAGTGCCCTGTGATTATTCTTGTATAATGCTATACTAGCAAATAAAAATATATAGTCTAACTCTTCCTAGCCCTTCTTTTTCAAGCTCATCTTTCTGCACTTTATGTTTTCATCTTTGAAATTTCTCTTTTCTTGATGATCCTGGCATATGTTGACATAGAAAGTAACCCTTAGCATGGAGGAGCACAGGCTAGTTATTTGAGATTGGAATTAGTTTTTCCTGCTTGTTAACTCTTGCCAGCACACCCCACTGGGTCATGAGTTTTCTTTATGGGAAGGTTTTCATCTATTGATTCATTTCTTTAATGGTGAAAGGATTACGCAAATTTCTTACTTTCTCTTGTGTGACTTTGGTAAGATTTTGTGTCTTAGGAAGTTTCTCATTTCATTAAAAGTTTCATATATTCTGGAAAATTGTTTATCAGCTCTTCTCTTTTAATGTCTGCAGACATTAAAACCTTCAAAGTAAGGTTCACCTTTAGTCATTATTCATTCTCTTTTTCTTACACACACACGCACACGCACACACACACTCTTACTTGATTAGTTTCATCAGAGACTTGGTTCTAGTACTCTTTTCAAAAACTAACTTTTGATTTTGTCGATCCTTTCTGTTACATATTTCATGTTCATTTAGTTTGTTTAGTTGCCCTCTTTCACAAGAAATGTGGAAGTGAATGTCCTTATACCTGTCTTTTAAGCATATTTGCTAGTGTGTGCAGTTCTCTAAGATACATGATTGCTAGCCCTAGAATTGCTCATTTGTAGGGCATGCAGATGAACAAAGTATTCAACTTTGTTGATGTTGCAAAAATTGC